TTTGATCAACAAGAATGCTATTCACTGTTTTTTTTTCATTTGTTTCTCAGCCACTTCAATAACTTAATATTTCAAAACACTAGGTTATTACTTGTAGTGTGTTTTCAATAACAACACACACAAAAAACACACCTGAGAGCCAGACATTACCATGGTGATACATGAATATAGAAAAAAGCAATCAAGAGATGATTTTAATGGATGAACAAGTATTTTCTACAGAAATAAAATAAATATAGACTAATCTTATATCATACTTAAAACAGCATTTCAAATTTAAAATAGCAAATGAAGATTATCACTTAATAAATTATTTGTCCACCTCTTGGATGGACTAATGCTCCTGCAGATTTTTACAATCTAGTGGATGAGCTTTTAAGGGACAGTTTTTCCTCTGTTTCATTGTTTCTCCCAATCAGATATCTATGGATTTGTCCAAAGTCCTGGCTGTTTTAGATTGGTCAACATCCTCTGACAGATAACAGTTATGAAGATTTTCCAGGTTTTGCCATTTTTTTTACCGTAGGTTCATTGGGAACTATGGTCAAGTCGCTGCTCCCCTCAATGCTCTTTCATCCTCCCAAACCAGGTTCACCTAGAACGTACAATCTGACAAGGGCTTTCACAGACTGAAGCTTCTGTTTGTTTCTGCCCCCGTTCGCCAGTCACCTAATCCTGTCAAACAATTCTTAGTGGAAGTGGATGCTTCGAGCACTGGTGTGGAAGCAATTTTCAGCCAGAGATCAGATGCCTTTTTTTCCTTGAGCTTGTCTAGTGACAAACAAATGATGATGTGGGTGATTTGAGCTCCTGGCGGTTAAGCTGGCTCTTGAAGAGGCTCCATTGTTTGGAGGGGCCTAAGGAACCATTTGTCGTATGGAGTGACCACAAGATTTTAGAGTGGCTCAAAACCAGTCAAGACTTCAATATACACCCTGACTCTGGCCCCAGATTCGGCTCTGGATTTCTGATCACCTGTCTCTGATCCTGGATCTGTTGTCAGACGCTGGTTATTTTTCCTGATCATGCTGTCTGTTTCTGCCATCCTGGTTCTGACCCAGTGCCTGTCAATTGACTATCGATTACCTGCCAGTCCTGAGAGTAAAATCCTCCTAACTGCTCTGATCGGATTCTGGATAAAATTATGTTTGCCAGTGACATCACCTGCCAACAGGAGCATTCACTCTCCCTCCAAGCCTGCTCCAGTATTGTGAGAAGGTTAGTGACCAAAGTTTTAGTGACTATAACACCTCTGAAAGTCTCTTACTGGTCAACTGGTTAAATTGTTGTATCCACTTCCAGTGGTTCCCGTCCTTGACACTGGTTTACATATAATAGAGAGCGTTCAGAGCAGCTGTGTCACAGTGTGGTGTGGAGGCTGCAACTCTGCAGACTGGAAGAAGGTAAGGAGAGTAATGACAACTGCAGAGAAGATGAAAAGACATTTAATTCCAGAGCTGCTTGTCCCGAGCCGGTAACATCATCAATGACCCTCACACCCCCCCCCCCATGGACTGTCTCCCTGCAGCCCTCTGGGAAAAGGCTTTGAAGCATCCGATGCAGGTCCAGCTGATTCCAAAACAGCTCCTTCCCCACTGCCGTTAGACCGCTGAAACTTATACAAAATGGGGAAAGAAAGTGTTGAATGTTGGAAAATGATAAATCATACACCACTCATATGTTAACATTTGATCATCACCATTTTTAAAAATTATCACTTTAGAAATGGAAATGTCATGAGAGTTGTACTGAACAAAATTTTGTTTTGTATTCACTCTGTGAGCACAAAATGGTAATAAAGTCTGTCTAAGTCTAAGCAGTTTACATATCAATAAACTGCTTTACGTTATCTGATCTTGTGAGGCTGAATTCTGAGTCCTGTTTCTGTTTGTTATAAAAGATGAAAATAATAGTTACAGAGACTAACCTGACAATAAATAATGAAACTAGATAATAGCCTGGTACAGTATATAAACATGTAAATGCAGTTTTATGCCAACCACATTGTCTTTGTCATTGCAATACCTCTGTGAATTCATCCCTTCTTCATGTCTCCGATTGTGACAGTTTATAACAGCATTAAAGCAAAGAAAACAAATATCTGTGATAGTGTCTGGTTATTTTTTCTGTTTTGTGTGTGTTTAAAAGGGGCTGACAGGAAGATAGTTGATGTACTAGTGCAATACCCAGTACCATGCTGATTAAAAACACATCTGGTATTGATAAAAACATGGATTTTATTTGAAAATCTACAACTGCTTAACCATAACAACAGTAAATTTACATAAAGCTTCATTGGCATTACAGTTACTGCTAGCATGAGTCTAGTTTCATCAGAAAAAGATGCTACCATCATTATTTGCTTTCCACGATAACAAAACCCAATATGTACAAACATGATTCAAACAACAAACCGATGGAAACTAATTCCTTTTAATTGAAATCAGATTTTTAGCTTGAAAATCCTGCTTTTAAATCAACTTGTTTAACATTTTTTTTTGTAATTTATGAGCTGAAACATAAAAATGATAGATTCACAGAGATAAAAGACAACTTGGAGAAAAATTGCAAGAAATTCCTACAATATACTGTGACTCCAAAATAACAGGTGGTCATTTTCAAGTCTTTCCAAGATGAAATTCAAATCATCTGTCTTCATAATCTTTATTCGTTGCTGGTTTAATTAAAGTTCTTGTGGAAGCAAAACTATCTTCTAATGGACTGGAGTTATCATCTGTTCACAGTATTGAAATACTCTAATTCGGTCAATGAGAATATATTTAATTCTAAGGTCACCCTAAATTAGTGGTTCTACAACTTTCTTGTAAACCAAATGTGAGTCCAGCAAGAAGAAAACAGAAACCACTGCCTTAAATAATAATAAAAAAAAAAACAAACAAACATCCAATTGAACTATCTTCTTCTTATTATTATCTTAACGATAATAATTTAATTCAATGTATTTATACAGGGCCAATTTACAACACATGTCATCTGAATGCATTTTACAGAGACAATTCATTCAAATTATACAGATAGATTAAATAAAGTATTGATTAACATTTGAATTCAGCGGGGTTCTTTTAACAGTAGAAGCTAATTCTACAAAATAAAATGCTTGTGGTAATAAAAAGAAAAGTTTTTTTCTTTCCGTTCTTAAGGCATATATAATGAAACCATCTGAAGTGAAATAAAAAAAAAAAAAAATATTGTGGTACATTGACATCTTGCATATGCCAATTATTAATTTTTTCACCCTTTAATTTTGTTTGGTCAAAGAAGGATTCTCAGCTCCAGCTAATTGTCAGTAAAACGGGAACTGATTGCTGCCAGTTTTAATGTGTCAAGTAAAAGATAGCTGTTGATTTAGAAATGTCTCTTTTTCTCTACTTCTTACAAATATGCATTATTACTGAATAACATGAAGATTGAAATGCACTGTATGTATTTGGATAAGAGTCTGACTATGTGGTTGCATTTGTCTAAAATAAGCTAAACTGATTAGACCTATGTTTGAATTATGATATTAAACACATATTTCAAAAAGGTACATGTACTGATTCATAATTATATTTTTCTCACTCTCTGAATTCAAATCAGACTTTTTTCTATTGAGTTTTCCTATTGAGGAGGATCATTGAAATGTGATTATTTTGGTAATTTCCCAAATAATGAAATAAAAAGAGAATTTTGGTTTTATATTCTTTAAAGGTACAATTTTCCTTAGTAATTGGTAGAATTGCCTTTTAATCTGATTGAATTGGATGACAAATTTGGGGTTTACTTTTATTTATTTCTTTATTTTTTGTGCTGAAATTGGTCCCATTTGTCTGCTCCTCCTCACCTGCCTTTTCCACAATCAAAATGATAAACTTCTGAAATATAAGAAAGCGACAAAAACCTCTGTCATCAACTAGTGTAGCTTTCAGTAACAGAAAAACTTATGTTAATCCCAGCTGAGTTAAACAAGTAAAGTTAGTGGGAATTTCACATCCTGAGACGAAAGAAAAGTTCTGTCTTTTTGTACAATTTCAGCAAAATATCTGTTTTGAACTAAAGATTCTTATGAATCAAAGGGCTGCTCTTGTAAAGCACCACAAGTCAGAGCCAATCTGTATGAAGGTAATACAATACGAATATGACTGATATGGACCTATACTTGGCCCTTAAAGGTATAATAAAGGATTTTTGCAGATTTTTGAAGAGACCCGCCCACTCCACTTAAAAAAAAAAATAAAAATGCACAATCTGTACCCGCTCCCAAGAGGGAATGCTTATTAAACACATGCGAGAACATGCACAAGCCCATTTCTCCTCGTGCCCTCTCTGTTTTAAAGTTGCTGCTGGCATCGATCGTACAAGCTTACTTTCAAAAACAATATTTGCACTATGTCAGATTCTCCACCTATAAGTGAGAATGATGGGGGCTTAGGACGGCCTTATGTAAACATAGGCTACCACCAGAATGATTGACAATTACGAGGACAACTTAATTTGATGATCCATCTGGAAAAAAAATATCCTCCTCTATACCTTTGACTAGTAAGCTAACTACATGTACTGCTGCAACTAAAGATTAATTTGCAAATCGATTTAACTGTTATTTTTTCGATTAATCGATTTGATTAATTAGAGTGTTTTTTTTACTAAATTAAACCAGGTGAAACTAAAACTTTACTACTTCAGGAGTTCTGGATAGAGCATATAGACAGACAATTATAATTTTTTTTTTTATCTTAAATGCAAAATGTTTATATATTTTTTACAATCTTGGTATAACTTCTGCTCATGGTGTGTATCTCTGTGAGCTAAAGGCATGTTTTATAGTCTCTATGCTCCAGTTAATGATTAATCAATTACTAAATTAGTTGATAATTATTTCAGTAATCGATTAATCACGATTAATTGTTTCAGGCCTAAAGCTAACATCTCCATACTTTGCTTTACATGTTTTATCACACCTTGATGTAGTTGGTTTGAGCTCTCAGACTTGGTGTGTTCTCTTTTTTCTTATATATATTATTCATTTTAAGTAGTCAGAGGCTCTCTATTGATCAGTGATCTCTTTATTTTGTCCAAAATAATGAAATCAAGACAACCTGATGCAACACAGAGATAAATAAATGACAAATGTAAAACACCTGATGCTTAAGACAACCTAATGATATATTGACAAAGCTAAACAAGCTAAACACAGAGAATATATATAATTATTCTGGATTTAAATCATGAATTTATGCTGTTTTTTTACAGTTCCAAAAAATGATTTAAATTGATATATTATTTAAATTAACGTTATTTCATTTCTGGGGCCAGGATAATTATTTCAAGAAGTTAACTTTAAAAGGGAAGTAACCAGATTGGTCGACTCGTACACAATAACTCAATAGATGGACGATCAGACTGGATTACCTCTGGATGAGAGGCGGGACATCTACACCTAGCTAAGAAAAACAGAGGACGATCCAAAGCTGTAGCTAGCTGCACCAAGGCCAAAAAAACCTCCATGGCTTGTGTCATTGGAGGCAGAAGAAACAGCAATATTTTGATACCAAACTGCACTTACTGTGCATAGCAGGGAGAGAATCATTACTTAAACAAACCATAATCCGTACCAACAAGAGACAATATTCTATTTACCTTCACTGGTAAGAAGTGTGAGAGTTTTAATGATTCTGTACACTCCCCTCATTTATTGCTTTTAAGTAGAACTCTGCTTTCTACGGAAGCTCAGAGCGGTCATGTCTCTCAGATACTGTTTTTACTGTGGTTTTCTTGAGAAAACAAGTAAATTTTCTAAATCATCTAAAGATAACGAAAGCTGTTTTCTCGTCATAACGAGATGACTGGTGTGTGTTAATACTGATTACATCCTTCAATACCACAACAACAGGAGAGGATTTATAAGTCTAAGTTATGGCAGCCTTTGTGTAATTCTGTAAATAGTCCTGTTTTAAACTTTAAGGAAATGAGACAACGTTGTTGGATTGATAATTTGCTTCCACTTCTGATTCATAAGCAATTAGACTGATGCCTTAAGGCTGATTTATACTTCGAAACCAGGTCCTCTGCGTAGGTGTCGCAGTGATCAAAAAGACATCCCCGCCCCCTCCGCAGACACTCTGCTGCACCTCTCCCAAATTGTAATTGATCGCAGACAGTGGTCGGCTTGTTTTGTTTTTATGACAGAAACTACGGAAAACAACTCGTGAAGTTTGACCAGCTAGAAGATGGAGGTGCGCGAGAACGCTGGGACCCTTTTTCCACCTGGATCCCCGCTATTTTTCACTGTCATGTCCCTCCGTTGTCGGACTAAACTCGCCCCCACTTCCTGATCTCCTCGGCCGTATCTAGACCCACAGCGTGTAGAACAGACCACGCTTTAATATTAAGCATAAATCAAAAATGTCTGCGTCAAGCTCACTGCGACACACTGCTGCAGGTGTATAACCAGGCCTTAAGTGCCGGGGGTTTTCTGAACAGCCTCGGTGTAACACCTGTAAGAGGTATAAGATGCAGTAACCCCCCAAATGAAAAGATTTTAATTAAAAACAGCCGGGTTTATTTCTACTGTATTCCATGCAATCCAATCATCCACTACAATCTGACAATGAG